TTCTGCAGTGCCAACCTGCCACAGTCACGGTTGCGGGAGGAGGCCGTCACGGGCACTGCACTGCCAGCACTTCCAGCTGCAGCTCAGCGTTGCGGGCAGGCTCGCAATTACCGGCACCTGCAGCACAACCTGAAACACCTGTTGGCACTGAAGGTTGTCTGTTAACATACCCGGAAACACCAGAATAATTCACGGTAAACTACGAGCCCAAACGCCCAAAGGCTCTTGACATTTCGGAAAATCTGCTGTGCCCAGAACTAGGCATCTAATGGACTTTCTGTTTTCATTCTTCGGCGATGACAAAAGGCCGTTTAATATATAGCCGTTTGCGACCATGCGCACGGACGTATAATCACTTAAGTCGTCTTTTGTAATTTTGCTGGAAAAATTACGCTCCCTTTTATTTTTGCAAAACTAAATCAGTCCTTTAATTTGTCAATTGAACCCTCGTGCACCTACATGTGTTCGGCGCACTTTTCCCCCCAGAAATTCCAGCTGAAAAACAATCGCTTGCAATTTCAGTTCATTACTCCAGCTCATGTATGATGGTTGCAGGCCAAGACATGTCTTTTGCATTCTCAAGGGGGGGGGGGGAAGGGGGGTGGGAGGAAAGTAGTCGCTATCATTTCCATTTTGAGATTTTGTTTTGTTTAGTTTGAACTCTTGTTAAACTTTTGTCTTTTTTTAAACCGAGCTCGAAATAGCGAAGAATGGGGGCACGACAATATTTTCCTCCAAGTCCGACCACGTCGTCAAAACAAGGCTTGAAAATATACACCGAGTGTCACTGCTACAAAGGGATTTCCACTACTGTCAGAGCACAGATCCTGCACATGAAATATCAATGACTGTGCTGGCAGTCGCATGCAAAAGAAGACAAAACATTTCATTGTTCTTTTTGCGATAAAAAAACCCATTGCCTTGTAAACTGAAGATATGACGTTAATGTCTCACTCAGGCAATGGCAAAGCCATGAAGGCCAGGAAGAGAGATGGAAGTAGACGCTGAGCTACAAGCAGAGCACTGTTATTATATATATATAAAACTTTCAAAATAACAACAGAGATTGTTTACATCTGCATTAGGGAGAAAAAAAGGGAGGAAAAAAAATCACGCACATGCGTGACGGTTTTCAATATCAGTTTGTCCTTGGAAGCATTTAATTATGAGGGAACGGCCTTGCGCACCTACAGGAATCGGGATGTCCAGAGGCGGCTCAAATTGAAAACTGCTTCATGACGTTACATTTCACGTCGCACGACGAGATGAAGTGACGTGTAATGACGTCATCGGGAGGAGAGAGGGGGGGCTCTGTGGGCTCCTCAGCCGGCAGTGCACTGACAACCAAAGTGATGCATGAAGACTTTCGATCTAAGTTGGAAAGCGTTGTGAGTTAAAACAATGACTCAAGTAAAGTGAAGACTAAACGTCAGCACAGTGCATTCTGGGTGTCAAACAAGCGCCATCGCGTGAACGTTTTCGGTGGTGCCACGTGCTTCCCAGAATGCAACGCCACACGCAATTACCGGTCACCTCCGTGGAGTTGAGGCTATTTCTAAAAACAAACCCACGCCGTAGCAAAACGCGCGTGCATTAGCCACCGGCGAAAGGTCTGGCACAGACAACAAGCCATTTATCATTGCGTGCGTTATCAACTATGTTGTGTCATTTTAATGCGACGGGTGGCGTTGAATATGAACCGCCGGGCCTCTCAGTAACGGCGTGCGGCCCCCTATCACGCGACCGTGACCGCGCCGCAAACGAGATCTTGCATCAAAGTTGAAACGGCATGAAATTGCAGTGCGTCCGCCGGACCGGAGACTCAAAGCATGGCCCCCCCACCCAGCCTCCCCCCAACCGAGTCGCCGTGCACGATGAGAAAACACCTCCGTTCAGCAGCCCCCGTGATCCATGGTGCTCCGGGGCCTCCGGGGCAACGTGGCGTCAACGCGGAGTACAAATCGGAACAGAGGATGGCCGAGCCCGTGCGCCCGTAGTGCACAACGCGCGTGCCTCCCATGAGAGAACTACCCGGACGTTCATCACACTGAGCAGTAAGGTACACCGCGGCGCGTGAGACAGACGAGGGACTCCATTCTCCATTACCGCACCTCCGATGAAGCACGCTTGGCTACGTACGGTACGAAAGAAGTTCAACATAGATACATACTGCACACATTTGGGCACATGCTGTGCATTGATAAGCACGTCGGCTATGGAGTTAACAGACGGGGGACATTGAGGTATACTCCCAGAGACGCAGGGGTGTTCACGGCCACGTTAAATAAGTAAATAAAAACACAACGCTGGCGCAGAAACACGTGGAGAAAATCGACAAAGAGAGAAAAATAAGTGACGTGCAGTAAAACCCCGGCCTCCCAAACGAATCGGGAGGAGCCCTGAGCCAGAGGGCCGAAGAGTCCGGCTAGCTGCTACAACAATTAGAGCCTATGCAATAAAAACATTGTGTATGTGTGCGTGTATATATACACATTTTAAAATAAATATCGGTGAGCGCAGTATGTGCATTCTACTCCGTAAACTAAAAAGTACTTCCTAAATGTACCGTGTTGTGTCCTAGGTCTGCTCTCCACCCCAAAAATAAAACTTACAACCATTCGTGGACGAGCTTAGTCATGCGCCTTGAGAACGATTGTTTAAGGGCGCTTCATAATTTCGAATTTTTATTATTGCATTCTGGAATACCCTCCCACTCCACATCCAACAAATGGACTCCATCATATTATGAAAATCTTTACTAAAATCCTTTTTATTATCCAGGCATACGCTGAAAAATAGGTAATTACTTTTTTGGACATTTGACCGATTTATATCAATGAATCGTAACTTGCGTGCACTCCACCACAGCCCCCCGTGTGAAGGTTTCCTGGCTTGGTTGGGAAGTTGGCAGTGTGGTCTGGGGGTGTGTAGTAGTAGGCCTCATCCTGGACTCCTTCCTTTGTTGTGATCACTTTTTTGGTTAGTCTGTGCTTTTTGTTTCGGTGCCATTTCTGAATTTGTTTATTCGTTTTTTATTGTACTTGGGAGTAGGGGTTTCATTTGCTTGGTAGTGGATGTATATGGGATTTGGTCCTTATATAAAACTAGCCTTATACCCGTCCAAGGACGGGTGTATTGCAATAAATATGAAACTTGCAAGCGAAAAGCAGACCACGACGTGGTATTCATTGCATCAATTCGTGTGCAATTTGTAAGGGCGCGGTGACACAGACCTATTTCATTTTAAGGTTATAATCCCTTGTGTATCATGACGTCCTTTTGACTTTGATGTCTCAACAGCGTTACGGAGATCACGTGACGTGAGGGTTCTGCCTTTGTAGTGAGGGTTGTAAGTTGACGCCAAGGAGGGGGGAGGAGGCACCTCGCCCCCCATGTGCAGTGACGTCAGCTGCTAATTATTATTAATGAGGGGGGCTGTTCAATGTGGAGTGACGTCACTTGCGCATGAATATTAGTGAGGGGGGAGGGGAGTACAGTGACGTCACCTGCTCATGATTATTAATGAGGGGTGGGGGGGTTTCCATTTGGAGGACGTCACCTGCTCATGAATATTAACGAGGGGGGCTGGTCGACGTGGAGTGACGTCACGAGCGTTAAGGACCCTCCTGGGTGATTATAGTAGGTATGAATGTAGAGTGTTATCAGATGCGATTTGCACAAACGTGTTTTTTTATGAACGTATAATTATTGTTGGTCGGTTGGTTCGTTAAATCGGTCCCCTCCCACCAGCAAACCCCAATCCCCCATCACCATTCTCCCACACCACCCCTAACACATTAAGTGCATTGAACACATGTATGAGTAGTACAATAGTTCTCTCCCTTGGTCGGGTCTAGGATACATCGACCACCCCCATCGCACAACAACGCTCCCCCCTCCACCCCGAATCACCCACTCCTCCTCCATCCCCCAATTCTCCCGGCGTTAATGCCAAATAGCGTACAAGCTGGACCCAAAGAGTGACCAACGTAGAAGTAAGAAAAAGGCTGCACGTAGAAGCTGACCTGATGATGCAAGGAAACTCGCAACTATTTGGACACACGTGTAGGATGAACAACAACAGGAAAATGAAAAGTGTGGTATTCGGAAAAATGCAACTGGAAAAATGCAACTGGAAAGAGAGGAAGACCTAACAGAGAATGGCTTGACGAGATGCGATATTGGTGCCAGAGAGATGCACGTTACTTGAGCATATTTATGTAAGACAGAGGAAAGTGGAAATAAATGACTAAATGTGCGGCGGACATCTATGGGCAATCTGCCCATGGATGATAATGATGACCGTACATTTAACATACTTTAAATATACTTTTCCCGATAATTTAGACGTACTGAATTACATACAGTAACATGGTCTACTGCATTTCATTACATATATATGAATAATTTTAATGATCATGCATGTAATGTATTGGCAGACCCTTTTGGGCGAAATGCAAATCTTAAGAGTCTTAACAGACTTTTGGGGAAAATGCTATTAGCGAGCACCTATGAAGGCTGGCATGGTACATGAAGGGGTGGGTGGCCAGCACCACGCCCGGCCGCCTTTGTCTTCCCAGTGGCGATAATTTTATACACCGCACCAGGTACTCATTTGAGGCTGAGTCGACCTAGGGGAGGCCCAGGACCGGTTTAGATAATCGTTACTGGTGTTGACCGTGAGCGGAAATCAAACTCGGGTCGCCAAGTTTGTACCGCAGCGCGCTAACCGCTACATGACCGCTCCACACATATATACACACACAAATACACACATACAATCAGAGATACCAACAGACAAATATGCTGACACACACACACCGCAACCACCATTCACCACCGACCAGTTCTGACATCGCCTCGGTTAACTAATAACGTAGGTGTTTGTAGCCACACTATGATCCATATCTTTTTTTGCGGGTTAGATCCACGTAGCGGTTTCTCGTGGCAGGCTAGGTGCAACTCTCTGGAGTTACATACTCACGCATCGACAGACTCACTCTGCGGGGATGTCCAGCGAGGTGGGCGGGGGGTTCCACTCCTCGGGGTGACCCAGCATCCAGTCGGACCACACCTTGAGGCCAGGCAGCAGGTCCCGCACATCCGAGTGCAGGCGCGACACGCACAACGCAGCGCCGCCGCCACCGCCCTGCTGCTGCTGCACCTCTGCTGTCGCACACAAAACAAAGATCTCCCATGTAGCCTTAACAGACAAGTGTTGTTAGCGAGCGCCTATGAAGGCCGGCATGGCACACAAGGCGGGTTTGGTGGCCAGCACCACGCCCGGCCGCCTTTGTCTTCCCAGTGGCGATGTTTTTACACGCCGCACAAGGTACTCAATTGAGGCTGAGTCGACCTAGGGGAGGCCAACACACACACACGCAATAGCACACGTTTTAACCACCACACAAACACCCTCTAGATACACAACAACATCCCGATGTTAATGCAGGAAAGCTTCTCCGAGTGAAGACTCGACAAGGAGGGCCCTGTTTGGGATGTTTGCGCTAATCCCTTCGCGTATATAGGCAAAGGCCTGTAAACCAGCAACTGGAAGGCTGGGTTAGTGGATCACAAATAAATCACTTTCTGCGGCATTGTGGTACCTCTAGGAGGGAGGCTAATATCAAACTGGTAAAACAAAGTGTCGGATGAGAGCAGGATGGAGTGCTTTTGGAAAGCTGAAGTTGACAAAAAATATATAACATACCAGCGTGCCTAAAAAGGGAAGAGGTTTAACTCATCCGGATGAGTAACATGGACATTAACAATGAGAATGAAACAAAAAACTGAAAAGTGCATCAAGAAATTTGTCGAGATTCATACTTGGGTTATACAACATCCCCCCCTTTTCCGATTAGCACGGTTGACCACGTGTGGTGCAAGAGAAGTTCAACATACACACACATGCAATGAGAGGCAGAAAGAAGATGGCACGGATTTGAGAACACGCGCAGTTGAATGCACTATTCACACGGTCACGATAAAGGGGGCTTGGTCAGGACATGTCGATCAAGGAGACGACGATAGCCGATGGCCAAGAAGCAGCCAAGGAATCTAACACGTCCCAGCGGACATCCGCCAAGGAGATGGAGTGACAAAGTCAGCTTTTGTGTGGTCGCTAGATGGATCATCACATCACAGAATCACAAGAGGTGACGGCTTGAGGACTTCCTCCAGCAGTGGATTGACCATGGATGATGATGATTACAAACAAGAGTTCTTGACAAAAAAAAACAAGTAGCACAGAGAGGCTGTCAACCTACTTATTGTACCGGCCCCTTCTGACACTGCCACTATTTAATGATGACGTCTCTGGGTCTGTAACAGAGGTCGCAACCGGGTACCCGATACCCGTACCCTTCCCGATACCCGGCTACCCGTACCCGACTGGGTACGGGTACGAGTACCCGTTTGCGAACCTGGTGCGGCCGGGTACGGGTAGGCCGTGAGTCACTGGTGAGTAACCGTTTGTCACTCATTTCGGGTAGGGTACGGGTACGGGTAGGATACAGCTACCTGTACCCGGCCAGGTATGGGTACGGGTACCCATTTGCGACCCTGGTGCGGCCGGGTACGGGTACGGATAAGGAATCAAAACCCGTTTGCGACCTCTGGTCTGTAACAGCCACGGTGTGGCTGACAGCGGACTTTGACAAACGCCCACAGAAATGACTGCGCAGCTGCAAAAATCGAGCCATGGACTCGGCACAAACTGGGCTAATGGCGGTCGTGTCACCCAATCTATTCACAACTGCTTATGTTGATGCACTGCAGATACACTATTGATGTATTGACATCGTTTGCCCAGAAACAAATTTACACGGGCACTGTGAATGAAATGCACTGCAGTCTTTCCTGCTCCATGTAGCTCTAAGCAGAACTAGATAATTACTGGAGGAATCGTATTTGATTTATCCCTGGATGATTCCTGCAGGAATTCTTCTTCTTCTATGGAGATCCCCATGTTAAATCTCCATGAGATTTTAACAGGGATTCTGCCACACAAGATGTGCGCATGAGAAGTCGATTCGATTGAGATTCTAGATTCGCTAAGTTCAGCTTTGCTTGGCTTACTTAAGCATTACCAATTCCAGGCAGCCAGAATTGCCACTGAAATGTATCTCCAATGCCTAGTGTGCAGAATTACCGATTCCTTCCCAATTCCGGCGTGACTTTCAGACAAGACAGAAGGATCCGTCGGGCCTGGCCAACCTAGCGGAACCATCACCGAAACATATAACCGATCCCTACGTAATACACCTCACTGCTGATTCTGGTCGATACTGGAGATTTTGGTCGTCATTCCCTTCTGACTGGCATAGACCAGGATCACCTTTACAACTCATACCATAGCCATCAGCTTATATATGTCAATGGTGATTCTGGTGAAGAGATCAGGCCCCAGAGCCCGTTGGGTCCTCTCTTCTTGCCTAAATTCCACGCCAGGCTCAGCACAGCCTCGGTGCCCCGCGATTCCACTGAACGTATATTTACTGAAAAATGCGATGACGATTCCAGGCTAGGAATCACGAGATAAACCCCCCACTTTATTAGACATGTATAGTTTAATGTGTGCCCGTACAACTATGAGTTACAAAGAGGTTTCATTATGAGGACATTGAAGGCACACAGATTCGACAACTATTAGTTACAAAAAGGTTTCATTATGAGGACATTGAAGGCACACAGATTCACCACATTTATAGCCATTGCAGATACGCCTTATCAGTGCAAGTATCACGTCAAAAAAACCAAAATAATTATTCGTGCATATTCTATATCAACCATGTAACAATTCACCCCAACAACCCCAAAGAAATCGGGGTCGTGAGTTAATGATTGGTTATTGTATTGTTCGTACTGTCTATACAATTTTGTTTGCTCAATTAAGACCACTATACATATGTTTATACTATGCACAAACGCCATATATTAAATTCTCACAGCATAATCCCATGCATTTATCGTGATAAGAAATTATTCTGAGAGATGAAATGGATGAATCTACGCGTTACCACAATGCTCTTCTGCGTGTGCAACATCGCGACAGCGGGAGGGGGTTTATTGATGCCAGCGCTCGGTGGCAGGTGTCGTGATTTCTCACGGCAAAGCGTCAGGGTCACCTCGGGCCCCGCGGAGAAGGAAGAGGGGCAAGCGGCACTGTGGAACATCAGTCACGCAGTACCACGACGGGGCCACGCGGCCCAACGTCAACTTGCGGGGCCGCGCGTGACGGAGCCACGGGCAACGCCACGGCAAAGATGCGCACGCATCAGCGAGGACACGCTGGAGTCGCAGCGCATCCTCGTTAGCCTCGCACACACTTCATTTAATTAGCTCATTTGCGCCAGCTTAACGAGCTGCAGGATGGCGGGGGGGGACATCCACCTGTTTCCTCAGTCTGAAAGCTTTAGAGCTTTCAGCCGCCGGGCACACAATCGTGTATAGGACGTGGCGCGAAGGCACCGATACAAACTAATTACGCGTTTGAACGCGGCAACTCGTGAATAATGCATGGAAAAAACCGCCCAAGCCAAAAAGCACACTCACACATGCACGGCGAACAATCAAAGGGGAAACTAAAAAAAAAACATTCAAATCGCGCAACAAATGTTTATGTATGAAAACCTCAGGTGCACCTCGTTGTTGCATATTACGGCTTATAATGCGAACTAATTTGTGAAATTTCAGTGGGAGTTTTGTGATCTACCTCCTTAGCCGGGATGCATTTTTGAAACATTACACGGTGAATACCAAAGCATAGTCTTTCTAAAAAAAAAAAACCGCACCACGCTGGCTGCGACGAGTTGCACGCTCCGATCGGCACCCAGATTCCCCATCTCAAACGAGGGGCCAGAAAAAACATGGGCACATGGCGGGGCACCAGCGCGCTTCGCTCGCACGTCGCTCTCTCGCTCGAGCCACACGCACGCATTCATTAGCACGCGGTGGGGATTTATCGCCGGGGGGGGGGGGGCACCAGGCAGAGACCTTCCCTGCGTTTGGCCATTCAGGGCTGAATCCTTTCGCTTGACAGAGCGCATTGAGAGGTCTGTCTAATTGACACGGACTTTAAATTGGGTGACCCATGGCAAAGAGGCTCGCTTTGCAAGGGAACTCTGTGTTTGTGCCCCTGGATCACGGCATGATACTCGGTGGATAAACTGTTTCAATGTCTGCTTCATAAAGGAGGCTCCACACCCTGACTCTGCGTCTTCTGGGAGAAGGGAGCCGGGTGGCATCCACTGTTTGAGTGCCGTGCTTCAAGAGGGGGTGGGGGGATGCTGAGATAAACTTTGGGCATCTGGGAGGAGACAGCACGGAAATCAGCTTGCAAGATTTTTTTAAAAGAACGAGACCACTTTATGCCAGCATCCCTGGAGAAAATGTCGCTGAAAAAATATCAATATCCTAAAGATAAACTCATTTAATGCTTTTTATCGCCATAATCATCCTGGATTGAGCTGGGAAAACCTCACCGAGGCTAAAGGCTGTCCTTTCAGGAGGGTCCTATATCTGGAACGCCCTCCCAACTTCTTTGACGATATTTTCGACGTGGAAGGAAACTTGGGTAAGGGGAGAAAACCCCGCATGCGTGAGGAGATAACCATTAAATATTCTAAGATAATTTTTCGATTTAAAGCTATCGTGACTGCAGGGATTCATCTTCTTGGTTCTTTCGGTAAAGTCACATAGAAGAGAAATAACATAATAAAAATAAAACATAATAAAATAATTCTCACGACGTTTTGGCCACAACGCAAGCAGCCGTCCTCCGGTGAAGACCAGGTCTGTCTCCCCTTCTACGTGACTTTTCCGAAAGAACCAAGAATATGAATTGCAAGCAGCCATCCTCAGGTGAAGACCAGGTCTGTCTCCCCGACAGACCTGGTCTTCACCTGAGGACACCTGAGGACAGAAGCAGCCGTCCTCAGGTGAAGACCAGGTCTGTCGGGAAGACCAGGGAAGACCAGGGAGACAGACCTGGTCTTCACCTGAAGACAGCTGCTTGCGTTGTGGCCGAAAAGTCGTGAGAATTATTTTCTAATGTTTTATTTTTATTATTTTATTATTTCCCTTCTACGTGACTTTACCGAAAGAACCAAGAAGATGATTCTAAGAGAAGCCAACAGCAACACTTTGCGGCCCTAGCAAAGGCCACTCGA